CATATCTAAATTTAAACGAAATTTATATGCTTCAGGTGCTTTTCTATGTTACATTTATCTGGAGAAAACATGAAATTGCAAGTTGAAACTGGACATTACGGTTGTATGGCTCTATAAAACGCTCAGGGTGATTTGTTGAAATCGATCCTCGATTATGCTGCAAGTTATGATTATCCTTATTAACCATGCTCATTTTATTGTTCATCGATATTATAATTGTTTTGAAGTGTGCATCACATCGTTTTTCTTTTGCAAGCCGCAGCTAACCATTTTATTTTGCAGGCTGCGTCTAACCGTTTTCAAGCTGGGTCCGATGTTGAACAGAAGGATAATAAAAGTTGCTGTGGGAGTGAAATGCTCGAAACGCGGAGAATGAATAAACGCAATGATGTAAGTATTCATTTCTACATTTGAACAAAATTTATATACTTCAGATGCTTTATGTTGCTCTTATGTTGCTTTTATGTGGAGAGGTGGATGGGAGAGTTGAAAATGATATTGCAGGTTGAAACTGGACATCATGGTTGTATGACTCTAGTCTATAAAACACTTCGGATGATTTGTTGATGACAATTGATCTCAAAGAGTATGCTGCAATAAACTACGACTTTACTCGATTCAAGCCAACAAGAGCTAGATTTGTGATCTTATTTATAGTTTTAACCATGTTCAATTTAATGCCTATCTATGTTCTTTTTGTCTTGAAGTCGGCGCTTCAACATTTTTTGCAAGTTGCATTTAATCATTTTTGCTGACTGCATTTACCCATTTTGTGCTGGCTGCATTTAACCATTTTTGCTGGCTGCATTTAACCATTTTTGCTGGCTGTATCTATTTTCTTTGCTTGCTTGCTACATCTAACCATTTTTTGCTGGCTGCATCTAATCATTTTTTGCAGGCTGGGTCTAAACATTTTACTATCTTTTTTTGCAGGCTGCGTCAACCGTTTTTACCATTTTTTTGCAGGCGGGCATCTAACCACTTTTTTGGAGGGGCTGCATCTAACAATTTTTGCAGGTGCTAGGTCTAACCATTTTTACTCTTTTTTTGCTGGCTGCGTCAAACCCTTTATTCCTGCAGGGGCTGCGTTTGACACGTATGAAACACCCCCGCGGGCCGAAATTTGCACACCCTGGATTAGAGCACTTTAGTAGCTGTGAGCATTCGCCAAAGGTAGTTTGTTGAAACTGAATTTTTTTCTCATTCGACTTTAGAGGAAAGCCAGAAGCTTCGTGAAACTCGGGCGGACATCAGATCTACAAATTATCATTTGGCAAAGACTATGGCAGGTATAAAGCTCAATCATTCTCGTTTAGTCTTGTTTGCTACACAAATCTATTAATGGTATTTATCAAAAATCACGTATTATCACGTACTCGAGGAAAGAATATTGGACACTTGTCACTTGACTCTCTGATATATAATTATATTTTGTTGTATATTATTAACTTATTCCCATTCTAAAATTGATGTTATATCATTGTGTACAACCTGTGTTTTGCAAATTGAATTTGAACTGGATGAATAAGAGTGTAGAGTAAAAACAACATTCATGTTTGTCTAGTTCGTAACATAAAGCTATGTTGAAACTGAATTTTTCTTTACTTTAACAGGAACGACGGAAGCGTTGTGGACATCAAATCTACAAAATATCATTCAGCAATAACTTAAAGCTGGTAAAATATTAAAACACTAATCTCGTTTTTCTAGTTTGCAACATTCACATTTTTGCAAACTCACGAAAACAAAATTAAGACACTTTTCACTTCTAAAATCTTTTTTTACAGGTCGATTGATTTGCAAATGGTCGTCACAATCTAAAGGCGGTTCTTCATTACAGCACTAATTCCGATCTACACCAATCAAGAAACGTAGAACTATAGACTTGAAAACACTGATCGGAACTATTACCACTGTCGAACTCTGACACTATGAAACTCTGAAATGTGTCAGACTATCAAGACGTCATAACTCTGAAAATTGTTATACGCAGACAATAATGCGGGTGCAATAAACTCGGTGAATTTAGACCAGGGCTGGCAAAGTTTTCGGACCAGGGGCCAAGTGTGACGTAAAAGTTACATTTTATGAACGATATTTACAGTGTTATGAAAGCAAACAACAATAAACCTCGTGCCAAAACTAAATTTAATCGCAACCTCAACAAATTTCTTGAGCTAATTTTTACGCTTTAATTTACCTTTACGCGTTTAAATTACGCTACGCTTTTACGTTTTAATTTGGTTGTGAAGTATCAGGCGGGCCAGGTTATATTGCCTAACGGGCCGGATTTGGCCCGCGGGCCTTACTTTGCCTGTGTCTGATTTAGACCCTTAACAGTGATTCCAGATGAATTTGTAATGAGCTATTTTGCCACACGTGTTAGGCCATGTTAAAATGCTCCATTGTACATAACCGTATAAAAAAAAATACCAAAAAAGGAAATGATTTATACAAATATTTAAAAACACAGCACGAAAATGATTAGCACAGATGGTGTACCTACCGTAGAATTGAGAAATCTCAAACGACTTGTATCAACTCAAAAAACATTTATCCTGCTAAAGCCAGACATAATTATATGATCAACGTAGTTTATGGCTAGATATATCTAAACATATTCACTAGAAAGCGAAAACTTAGTTTATTTGTGTGTAGATATATAAACTGTTCGTCAAAAAAACATTTTGTTAAAAATCTAAAGAAGAATGCTAAACTGCCATTAAGCTACAACCTCGTCACTTAGCAATCCACAATTTCTTCTTTTACGTCGGAAATACCAGACACCTACAACCAAGACTAGGATTACAATAATGATAACTGCCGCTGATGCTCCACCACTACCACCGCCACTAGAGAGAGATGCGGGTTTTGTGAACGACTGTGATTTGATTTTAAGCGAGAAGCAATGTGGTGTGCTGTGAAGTGAGCCAGATGGAGTATGTTGGAGATCGTCGTCTACTGTGTCGAGACAACAATATGTTGTACCTCCGTCGTGCTTTGCTGTACCTGAATTGATAATAAGTGTAAATATCGTATAAATTGAATGAACACTGATGGTTAATTATGGAGTCTAATCTACTCCAACACCATCTGACACCAATGTAATTCGAGAAACAAAAAGTCAGAAACAAAAAGTCATATTAGCAGAGACATTTTTACGTTGTGATCTGATTAATCTATAATAATTCTCCGTGATCACGGATTAATCTATAATAATTCTCCGTGATCACGGAGAAAATTTATTTAAAAACTATATCTATGCTACACTGCCATGTATGCTACCAAATTTACTGAAGCGTATTTCATTAAATCTTTTGGCATTGACGAATGCAGGATTGATACCAAAGCTACACAAAAGTAACCCTGTATCTGAGGCATATAGATGTAAATGAACTTCACTTGATCAGACATTGTTTTATTCAGGCCACACCGATATATATTATATATATCGTGAATAAACACTATGCTGGAACGATGATTCTGATATATATATATATATATTCATGATTCAATCAAGTTTATTATATACTGTGTGTTGTTCAGGTTCATAAAATGCTTTAAGTTTCGAAATACATTGTACCTATGTTCATAGTAAGAATGACATATAGAAACATACCGGTTATAGTAAGCACTCCAGGAGCTATTTTTATTTTCTCGTCTTGCTTGATTGAAACAAACGAACCATTCTTTGATCTAGATGAATATTTCCACGACGTTGAGAGTTTCTCCGGGCGAAGCGAAATAGTTGCAGCTAGAAAGTTGAAAATAACACAAAATTGTTATAAAACAAGCGATCTAGTTCGGGTATGATATTGACGATAATCGGGTTTAACTAATAGTGAGATGATCTTGACTCCTGACTCTGAGGAGCAATGGGATTTAGTTTTCGTATATTGGGAGCACAGGTCAGCTAATCTCATAACTATATATATATATATACCTACCCAACTCAACATCTGGACGAGATGATGAAGCCCGGCATATGAATATCGGCTTTTCTTTCGCCCGAGATGAATATGAAAAACGTTATCTTTGGATTACTTACTAATATTACGTTTGAAATTGTCAAATTGTCGAAAAATCAAATTTGTGTTTCTGACGTAGCGTTTCATTACGGTGTATTTCATAAGAAGAATGAATTTTATGTTATTAATATGGAAAATATTATTTTGTTAAAAAGACTTTCTGAAGATTAAAAACAATTTTGGAAATTGTTTGAAAACTGCAGAATTACCGTAGCAACCGTAGTTGTCAAGCACTTTTGTGAGTTTGTTTCGTCACAATTTGTAATGATGTAAAATTTGAATAGAGACCTCTTTATAAAATCCGGTAAAACCAATTACTATTTAGCAATTGTCTTGTAGTATAGTGACCGTTTGAATGCTTTTCGTTGTTATTAGTTTGCTGGTTGTTGTCGAAGAAAGTTTTGCTATTTAATTTTTATGAATTCCAAACTTTTTTCTTAAAATTTTGAATTTGTATGTTAATTCATGAGAATACGACGTCATTCCGTCATCTTATACCACTTGGATCGACGCGTGCCCAAACCCGGTGGATTGGATCTAACAGCATGATACATTTAGTCGTTTGTGCCCACTCACAACAACACTTCAGCAAATGGTTTTACATGGCTACTTTGTGCTCAATAATAGGACCGAAACCTAGGCAATTGTTTTTCCGGATACTGCAAATATGTCACCATGCAATACATCACGACTTCGACATTGTGACGAAACAGATTCACAAAGATTCTTGACAACGGCTGTTGCTACGAGATGATTCTTCATTTCTCAATCCTAACTTTATTTGGAAGATCCAATCCAAAAGATGCAAGGACTGCTGGTATTTACCTCAACCAATTAGATAAAAGATAGAAGTAAAATAAAACTGTAGACTTTTAGCTCTGGGCTGAAAGTATAAACTTTGTTGATGCCAAGTGCCAACATTAGTAGAAGATTAAAAGATTATTTTGTTTGCAGCTATTATTTGTGCTAGTACACAAAATTAGTCTACTATTTTACCAGAACCCCACCTGAACGATGAGCAACAGATCCTCGTGTGACAATTTTGTCACTGTAAAAACGTCGCCTTATCTATTGTCCAATGGTTCTCGTATGATTCCATTGTTGACCCCTCCCAGGAAAAGAATAAAGATGGATTTTTGTCCTAGGGAAAATTTGATCTGGACAGTCCAATCCCTCATAGATCGCTTCAATGCTCCGGAGTCAGAGGGAGCATCCAATAGCAAAGAAAAGTCAGTTATATTAACGAGGGTTGACTGCCTCCAAAAAAACCAACTACAACAACAGTTTTCAACAGAGGTATGTTAAAATCGACTTTATGCTGTTCAAATTCTGTTCCGAAACCAAATTTTCACAGGAATGGTTAATACCCGAACAATTTGGATACATATGTGACTTGCTATTTATAGATTTATAGTAGTATATATATTACTTATTTGAAGTAGCTTTTTTTTACTTGTTAAGCAATACTTGAAATGTTTCTACTGAAAGCCATTTGATTTTTTCTACAGGTAGAATTTAAAAATCTTCATGGCCCGCCAGCAGAGAGGACAGAAACAACTGGACTAGAAAGCACTGTTGAAAATATTGAGGTTCGTGACCGGGTGGTCTCTTTAGTAAACAAATGTGAGGTAGAGAAAGCATCATCTGACGAAATCATTAGCGATATTCACAAAGATGAAATACCTTGTCAAATACCTGAAAAAGAAACGAACACATTTTGTCGATATTCAGAAATTCACTTGGATACGGAAAAATGCAAGAGAAAAGCACAAGAAAAATTCAACTCTTCTTATTCTTCAGGAATTATATCTGACAAGGTATATTTGTAAATTATTATTTTTTTATGCTTGTGCAACGTAGATATATGTACGGCGAAAAAATATTTGAATTTTATGATATATTTGAAGTGATATTTTTTGTTAAAGACTTACACTGATGTAGAAAATGGGACAGATGGCAATGACGAAGATTCAAATCAAATCCGTGCTACAGCTGTGGAAATCTCATTGTCTTCGGTGACATTGCCCGAACCGGTTTATTTTTTATTTTTGACAACTCAAGTTTCGAGTTGAAAGACCCATTTGAAGACGATTCGGTATTTTGTTTTTATTTAATATCATTTACTATTCTGTTTTTTGCTTCTTCATCTAACATATTATGTATTGACCAACTTTATTTCAGATATTCGACATTAATGAGAATGACATCTTGTCAGCCCCAATGCCGGCGTTTATTACACGTTCGGGGGAGGTTTTTTCCGTTATTGACGGAATATCGGTGGATTACGATCATAGGGAAGTTTGCTCAAAATTGTCAGAATCCACTGACACTTTGGAAGGTAATGGAGTTAGCTTATAGCGCATTCCATTAAACATATACATTGAATATATAGTTTTCGATTTGTTCACTGGCTTGATGGGCTTGGGTATAAACCGAATGCATTTAGCCCCTTGGTTCGAAAGTTAATGACCTTTTTCTTTCTCTTTGTTTCTAGCAACGAGACTTGAAGCAATAAATACGGGTGCAAATATAAACTATGAATTTGAATTATCGCAAAAATTGCAGCAAAATGTCTGGTGTTCAAAATCTGAAAACTGTTTGAACTGGGTAAGTTGTACAATAATACTTTGTACAAAGACGTATTATATTGAAAGCTTGAAATTGTATGTGAGATCATATACATGTTTGTTTAATCACTTGATCTGATTGATCATTTTTATTTTTCAGTTTTCAAAGGGAATCGATAAAAAAATCTTTATCGCAAAATCGCAATTTTTGTTAAAATGCTTCCTTTTTATTTCAATACAAATCCGAATCTTACCTGAATGGATAGATCTCGCAATAAATCTGCATCCAGTCCACCTCCTATTGTGTTTGCATCTTTTCAGATGAAAAATACCACAGATGAAATATATGATATTGTTTGTAAAATGAGTCGATTGGAGCGAAGGAAACTTTTTATCAAAATGGAAATAGAAACTGAAAATGTAAGTTACATATTAATTAGTTGTTGTATTTTTTTTAGTCTCAAATTTGTGTTTCTGACGTAGCGTTTCATTACGGTGTTTCGTATATATTACATAATGAAAAGTAATGATTTTATAAGAAGAATGAACTTTATGTTATTAATATGGAGAACATTGTTTTGTTAAAAAGACTCTCTGAAGATTAATTTGTCATTCAAAAGAAGAATGTGTTCCATAAAATTAAAAAGTTCTTCACCCCGAATTGTTGTCGTTCTAAGAAATCCAACAACTAACTTCAACTTGAGGAAGAACTTACAGATATCGGAGAACAACTTGAAGGTCTGCGGGAATTGTTGCCATTGTATAGAATTTTCCTTAATAAATTCGAAGAGGAATTGTGCGAAATCAAAAATGAGCCTTACAATGGCGAATATTTTATAACTGACTCTGTGGATTTGCAGAATTTGAGTTTTTCTGTGTGATTTCAAATATATTTATATAAAAATTACGCGTGTTATCCTGAATTAATTACGAGAAATGAAATATCTTTGACAAGGCTAATGGCCTGTGGATACTGGGATATCGATGTTGATCCAAGAATCGGAAGAGTTCAACATCTAGTCTTGTATGATCAGTCTTATATAATTTGTACAAATTGAGGGAGTGGAGATCTTTTATAGACCACTACTCCGGACATTCACACACGATAAAACCGCGTCCACCAGATCAGGATTGTTTTTAATCTAATTAATTTATTCTGCGGGTATTGTTTGTGAAATATTCTCTTCAAAGGTGGTTGTTTACAAAAGGCCTGCTGTCTTTCTGATTATTGATGACGTTTGGGATTTTAAATATATGAAATTATATTCATTTGTGCGTGTAATCTAGTTAGTTGTATATAAACACCAATAGTTTTGGTAATAGATACATAGACAGATTTTTTACCCGAATCAGCGAATCAATAAATAAATCCAGTTATATAAATTCAACACTTTTTAATACTTCCAATAAAAAATGCAATATAGACAAAATAAACGACTTAGTATTTGTGAACAAGTAAACGAATAAAAATAGATTTGAAAAAAAAACAGGAGCACATAACTAATGTTAATTCGATACGACGAAAATCACCTCAGCCGATAAAACCATATGTGTATAATCAATAATAGTTGCAGCTGTGCATCGTAATGATGCAAACAAAGCCAGTGCGATTGTTTGAAAATATTAAGAGTACTCTACCTATGTTTCGATGTAATAATACTTTAATTTAATTTCTGACGGTATACTATCTTATAGAGCTCGAGGCATTGCCGCGAATCACCGTTTATCAAAGACCTACAGTGACTCAAGTCGTCTATTAGACAGAATGTCTCGGACTCGACATCAACTAATGGCCAATGAAACTGTGCTCAGTTATTGACTAGTCTTGAATGACCCATGACCCGGGGTTTAGGAAACATGTCACGTTTTGGCGAAAAGCATCAGAATGAAAGAAAAAGAAAACAAACAAACTGACGAGTTGAAAGTGTGACTTTCTATAATATTCTATGTGGTTTTTTATATTTTCCTAAGATTCATCTATAGATCCTTTGTTTTGTTTAATCTGTGAATTTTCTTTTGAAACCGACGGAAATTTACGTTTTGGGCTGGTTTCTCCGATGTAAATACCCTGTTCTGTAAACATATCACTATCTTTTTCTAATTGCTCTAACAGTGGAACAAATTTTTTTTTCGTCGGCGAAACCGGTTTTTCATCTCCGTTCAAGCCGTTATCAACAGAAACGTTTATAGATATACTTTGTAAAAGCGACATTTTGTTTTTAGAATTTCCATTCGCACTAGAATCGCATTTGGGAGTATCAGCTTTAGAAGTTTGCGCAACAACTGAATTCTGAGCGCCTCCTTCGACAGTTTCATCTATTGATGGAGGAGTGAACATAACGCTGACTCTTGATTCTACAACTCCTTGCGGTGGCAATATTTCGGCGCTAACGGCCCGTGAAATTCGCTTCCATCTCTTCCCTTTTTGATTCTGCCTTCTCCGTGTTTGAAGCTTTGTTTCTGGTATGCCAAGTGTAGAAACTGGCAATTCACTGCCGATAGAAGCTCGTCCACTTAAAATAAAATTTGATGTCGCCAGACTTCGCAGCCTCAATCTGTCTTTACCTATGATTTCGCGACTGCTTTTCGTTGGAAATGTCCTACTGGAACTGAGACTGAAATGAATAACACATCATATTAAAATTTGGGATATGAAGTTCATATTTAACTCGGGATAAAGGATAGCTGATATGACAGCGCAATCATATGACGAAACGCGGCCTCTCGACCGGTTACCACTTCCAGTCCAATATGGAGTTAACCAGTTATTCGTTTCAGATGCATGAACATGTATTAAATGAAAGGTATATTCATAAAGACCCTTCAAACAGTATATTCCAAACGGCGGGCATGTACCGTATAAAGAGTATTAAGATTCAAAAAGTACAAAGTTCTGGGAGAATGTCACGGGTCACCTAAATTAAATTATGACGTCACACACACACTCAAAATTTCTGTTCACTATTTAAAAATATTGCACAAATTATTATTTTTACCTGTAATTATGAAGTTTGTTGTTCAACAATTTCCTACATACGCAACCTCTACATAATATGGTCCGTAAGATTCTGAATAACACTTTCAAATATCCCTGGCGAAAAGCTTTGCTCAATAAAGCATACAGGGCAGGATTCATTGCGCTGTTACATAAGGCTATCCAATTTACCACCAATCGTACAGACGATTCACCTTACAAATAAAAATATAAAACGAAGTTTATAAGTTAAACTACAAGTCTACTGTTTGGCAATGACATTTCTTAGCGTCAGCTTATAGTAGCCAAGTCGACCAGTTCACAATCCCGTTAACAGCAATGAACATCTGGGCACGAATCAAGATCGCGAGACTAACAATGAAAAACTTCCACGCAGCATTCCCCACCACAAATTGACACGTATGTCAATTGATTGTTTATTCCAAAACCGGATCGTCCATATTTGAAATAGAATACATTAAAAATAGATTAGATGAGTGAATCCATATTAATGTTTTGCAATATCTCAGATCAAAGTTTAGTTTGATTTTGCTTTGTCTAATATATATCGATATTGTTGATAACGATGATAATGTTGATTGACGTTTCGTGTGATAATAAGTATTAGCCAATCCCCCAAATAATTTGAATATTCGAATTGTTATGAGATCTTAATTACCATCATACTATAGCAGTGGTTCTCAAACAGGGGTCCGCGAGGGAATATCAGGGGGCCGCAAGAGCCTTAAGTTCTTGCGTTATAGGATAACGTTGTCATTTTGCATTTTCGTAAGGGATCAAATGCTTCGAAACTTTTAGTGGTTTATAATTGTTGTTGTCGCTGGAAAGTTATTACTTATACTTATGTCAAAAAAATTCTGTGTGCTCTATAGAATTCGTTTTTCACTTTGAATTCCAGTGTGATTACGTCTTCAAAATTAAAAATTCGCACCGTGCCATGGTTCCGTGGCCGCATTTCAACGATATCGTCGGACTACATCAATACTTTAAAGTTTTAGATTCATTCTATTAGCAGCAAAATGGCTGAAAAGCGGAAATACGACAATGACTGTCCAATTTAGGCCTTCAGTATCAAATAATGTTTTTTTTCATTACATCTGCACTTTTTGCTGTAGTTTATAATGGTGTACAAAACGAAATTCAGTTTTGATATCATATCCATGAGTATATCGCACAAAAACAATAATTGTGAGCATAACGCCACTGTATTTAGAATCATTATCCATTCGTCTCCACTTACTTATGTGGACATGGATTTTCTACACTTGTTCAACTCAAGACGATAGCAAGGAAAAACTTGATGTGCAAGATCACATGAGATAAATCAGTAAGCTATCGGTATAATAGTACCGCATTTGCTGTTTTGTAAATCCAAATTTATTTGAAATTAACAAATTTTTTTATTCACTCATTCATTTTTGCTAATCATGGACGGAGATACAAGAAAGGCACGCGAAACTCATAAAACCCTGATTTTAAATATAGTTATAAAATTGGAACCTATTTATTAAATATTTATTATGCACGCATATTGGAAACAGTGTACAGATTAATTCTCCACTGCAAAAATAGACGCGGTGCAATGGTGATATTTGAGGGATTTCGACATCATTGTTAAGTTATATAGAAAAGCTATTTTGAAAATACGAGGATTCGATGACCTTACAAATACTATTTGATGGCAAAATAAAAAGACAAACTTCCATAATTCGGAAGAAAAATGATCGATACTAATTAATCAAAGGACGCATTCGATTCTGTGACATTATTAGACATTGAGCTATATATCACCATGCCACAACTAGGGTTCACAATTTAATTTGTAAAACGTATTGGCGGATGTTGTAAACGAATAGTTTTTTTTTATGACTTGAATATTTGAAAATGACTGTTGTCGTGACAATCATTGCACGAAATTTTTGTGTATTGATAAGAAGTAAATGAAATTATGAAAACATATAAAATATATCAAACAAGTCTCGAAATTTATTTATGATTTTTGTTAATACTAAGCTATATTCCAGTGTTCAAATCGACATGACCGTTGCACTCGACGCACAGCTTTCACAGCGTAAAATGTTATGATCTGGGACTCAAGGGTATATAAGGAGAGAGATATAATCAAAAAAGCCACGCACAAATAATGATTTTTGATGAACGACTTTTAAATATCTTGAACATTTTTATCATGTTTAAAATTATTAAGAAGCACCAAAAAATTCCAGCAATGTAAAAGCCAGCGTTCGCGTTGAATTGTGACCCGAAAACTATAAAAACGGAATTTCTGCTCTGGTGACCAGTGACCACATTGTTTTATTATTCCCGCGTGGGATTGGTGGTAGATGATTCGGCGCCATTCACTAGACTGAAAACTGAATTTATTGCAGAAATTGATTGATTTATATTTAAATTTTTCGTAATAAACCTGACGGGTTACCTGACTTCCATTCGTCAATGGTCGAAGTGTAATCATATATAATAGCTGGAGCCCAACATAATATGAACACAATCACTACAATTGCCAGCATAAGTGATATTTTTCTTTCTTTCTTGTATCGTTTTTTGAGCTGTTTAGCATCCAAGGCGCCTTTCATTCTAAATATGAAAGCATGTACAATTCAAATGAAGACATTTACAGAGTGAAGATATGCGGAGAGGGTATTAGAACCTGAGTCCTAAAACTGCAGTTGTGCCTTATATCTCTATAGTGCAGTGTTTCTCAAACTGCTCTTCCGCGAGTTTCTCCGAAATTGCGACTAAATCGGTCGCTATGGCGATCTCGGTCGTACCTCGGCGACTCTTGAGTCGTAAATTTGTCAACCAACTGGCGACAAACAGACGGAGAGGCTTTGCCATCTAAACAGGCAGACAGTCCTCGTGTCAGTCTAGAAAGCATTGGGTTTTCGTAGACTGTTCAATATCGCTAACCGTCGATTTAATTTTAATTTTACCATGAATTTTTTTTGGAAACCATCTATCAAGTTTACCTTCTAATTTCTTGGTGTGCCGCGAGGCGAGATGAAAAGCGTAGGTGCAAAAAAAAAAGTTAGAGAAACGCTGCTCGAGTGCATTTGATCTTCAAACTACAGTTTTTACACCAGCAACTTAATAGTCGCAACGTTAACAACAACATTACTATATTTAAGGCTCATTGGCATTAACAAAAGTAATATCAATTTTGAATTATACTAACAGCAAATTTCAAAGACACTCATAGGCATTCCACCATCTTTTATTTCACTCAAAAATCGCGAAAGCGAGCAAAGCTTTTTTGCTTTTATACAAAATTATAAATCAAAGCTGAGAATTGTAATATCGCAAATAGTATGAAAAAAATTTTACGTCAAAATTGTACAGACTTAGACACAATGTCAATTTATATATATATATAATACAAACCTCCTTCGACTTTGAACAATTTCCATATAAACCAGCGCGTAACAAAAAACAATAGCAAGCAATGGAATACACATCACAAAAAATCCGTTTGCATAAGTATATCCGCCATGGTTCTTTACGCCTACCATACAATCGTGTGTTGACTGATCATATACTACCGGTGGACCACTTCTCGGATATGAAAAATAATAACCTAAAATAATAGAATTTCAATTTGTTCAAAAAAAAAAATAAACACGACTCTCTCGAGTGTCAGACTGTACCCGAAAAATTGAGTTTTTATGGTAAATGCTTATTCAGAAATTACTTTTTATTTAAATTAAAAATATTTAATTTATATTTCATAATGTTTGCTGCAGCTATTTAAAACACTGAACGGGGTTCTTTTCACGCCGACGTAGTTGTTCAAAATTATTAAACAAAGGTGCACTCTTTAACAAAATATACTCTCAGGCAAAGTGCACCAATGGTATGTGGAAATAAATACGATTAGAGTATTAATTTGTTTGTATTTTTTCTTGCATTGTTTGAACAATGGTTTGTCTATCACAAGGTTTCCCAAACTCAGTGTTGATAGTTACCCTTTGGACAATTTATAAATCGCTTGTGTCCCCAAAATTGTCCTGCGTGCTGTGATTGAACAAAATAAGTCATGTGAACTGCGAATGTGAACTCGGTAATTACTGTAGTGGAATTTAAAATATTTACTGAGGTGAAAATATGGATTTACAAAGAGTTGCTATACAAAGTTCTTCAAATTATTAACATCATGTGATACAATATTTTAAGACATATCAGAAGTTATGAAAAGAATAATTCTTATACTCAATCTAATGTACCACTGGGGGTGAATGTACCCAGTTTGGGAACCCCTGTTCTGTCAGGAAGGTGTGTTTACAACTAATCGAGACAGTCAATTAACCTCGAACTTATAATAATGTTTTTTCTACTATATTGCATGTGGCCAAGTAACCGGCAAACTTTTGCCACTATTAATCAAACGTTCGAGTCAAAATACCTTACCTTCTGTGGAATTTTCCTTTAGCTCTTTGTTGTTTGGCACAGCCCATCCGACCATAATAGGAATATTGATGAGAACAATCCATAACCAAATTAGTATTATCGTGATAAGGACTCGTTTCTTTTTAAAATGATTTGCATATTCGTCCATGCGACACACAGTGTAATAACGATTCAAAGCGATGAATGCTAGACTGTACCTGAGTCACAAATTTTTACGTTATATAATTCGGGTAAGACTGCATAGAATAATTCGCACTGGTTTCATTTTCAAAAGCTAAGTATTGTCAAGTTTATTTGTGTGGACTGATGTGCGGTATTCAGATTGATAGGTAACACTATTTAAATGGTGATTTATTTGAAAAATTCGAACTTTTATCGTTCAGAAACTGAACTACGTAACCGACTGGCAGGGGGTACCAATCTTTTCTGATGCCCAGGGCTAGTTTCTAATACTGATGCTCCTTATATCAGACTTTTAAAATAATTCGAGGGATAAAACAACGTATGTTGTTGTACACGAAAATGAATTAACGGTCAAGTAGGAGTGAAATGTTTGTATTATTAATTAAACCATTAAACTAATCAACAAACTTGCATGTATAAAATCAAACTATTTATCTGCTTTACAGCGCGCTGATCGGGGGCTGCTCCTATGGCCTTCCCCTAAGCTCGTCCCTGTCGACTGGTTACATTGTTAAAAATGTTTTTACAGTTTCTGTTATTCGATTTCGTCAATTTTGGCATTATAAAAAGGTTACAGTAACTAGTTGGTAACCTTGTGTTGTAGTGAAATACTGCCGTTTTCGTAATAAAATAAGTCGAATTTTATAATTTGGGACAAACTTTACCGATCAAAACCTTGATTTTGATGTCAACTTACCATGATACGTGAAGGGCGATGATCTTCACATACGCCGAAGATTGACAAAACGCAGTACTTTCAACATAATCAATATAATCACCGGCCAATTCACTATAAAAGTAAACAAATTCAATTCAATTTTATATGCCAGTACTGTAAATACTTTCAAATTATTTGATGTTAGGTAAGTTTCATCAAGTTCGTACTTTATTATGAGTAATAGCATGTATTTTGCATCGCTAATACTGACGCTTCCGCATTTCCAAATTTTAATTCAGGCTATCACAATTTGGCCAGTTTGTACACGTCATTCTACGCAATGGTTTTTGTCCAAGAATCAGTCACATATCAATCACCCAAGAAGATTGAGTTTCATAGTAAACGATTATTAATTTACTTCAATCATCAAACTTGATTCACCTGCTTAAATTATATATAATTGCAGGAATGCTAAATGCAGTTATAATGATGTCCGATACAGTCAAATTAATTATGAAGTAGTTGCCTGGAATTCGAAGTTTCTTTTCCTGAAGATGAAAAGTCATATGATTATTTAATTATTTATTTGGCAGTAACTTATATCAATACTATTAATAAAAAAAGAGCCAGGTCAAGGTTGTTTAACTGCGAGCTATTTTTACTCGTTCAATAAATTCTCAAATGTTACGAAGTATGAAAATATTGGGAAACGCGATAAATCAGGTTTCTTAATCTATTGAACAAACACGATTGTACCGCGATAATAAGGCGACGGTGAGATATGAGCTACTTTTCTGCGTACTTTAATCTCTATTATCAATAAACCATGCAATTCCAAATTAATAGTTCTGAATTTAGGCAAATATTATTATTTTTGTGCCAGAATTTACTTTTGACTCGTTATATTTCTATTTGTGGCAACATACTGCACGAATTTACACACTTAAAAACACAAACTGTGCCGAAAAAAATAGGTAATCACTATCAATTTGCATTTTGTGGCGAGACAATGATAGGCGATGTAATACTAAACCCAGGGATGTCCGAAACGAATCGAAAATTCGAATTCATTCAAAATTCATTATATCGATATATAGTAAATCTTTGAATATGGGAATTATTTAGAAAATTCATTTTTTTTAAATGAGGGATGTTGAGCTGCCAGACAAACAGATCAATACATGCGATATCCCAACTGCCAACAAAGAACCCAGAGAAAACAATGACATTTATGTTTATGTCGTTTTAGATGTGATCAACATGAAAATTAGTAATTTATGAAATTTTCCACAAGAACTTGCCCCAATTTAAGAAATTTTCGATGTTTCATATTCAAAAATACTTTTATATATTATATTCGGAATAGTGAAATATTCGGATTTGGCCATCGCTGATTATACCCACAACGAAATCAATCTTTATATATTTATGGAGTTGGGTGTATATTGTAACCATGCCCTATTTTTAACTTCTACTGTCATTTTTAACTAATTTAGCTTCAAAATTATGGGGATATAGTGCGCTTTGTATGGGGAATAGAATCAAGAGCGTTAACCAGAGATACCCGACAAATCTTTGTATAACGCGCTAAACACTAGTGTATTCAAAATTGAATGGCAACCTTCCCAGTGCATAGAATGGATTTAGAAAGTCATTAGCAAACTTATTCATTTCAATAACTTCTAATAATATTAACTTACCTTCCGTATGGTAACTATAACTAAAATATTTCCCAACGTTCCAAATATTGCGACAATCGCCAAGAATATAATTTTCCCAACATTTGCACCTAAGTCATGTGAGTTGGTTGAACTGGAATTGCTGAATTGTTGTGTCACTGAAGTCGCATATTGTGGGCTAGTAGTTGAATTGGCATCCATTCATAAATATTTCTAGCGTCACTAATAGTTTATGAGCGAACAATTATAACTATATGATATTATCTAAATTTGTGAAAATTTGAGAAATATAACTATATAAAATAAAGGCTCATAAGGGAGTATTCACCAACCAACTTCCTTTAGAATGATAAAGCTGAGCAATGCCGTGTCAATTACAATTTGCACGCATAATACAATGGCGAGTTGTTGAGCGGCCGGTAGGCAAGTGCTGGCAATAATAAAGTGCCAGAGGGCGTCGTCTAAGTGTATCAGCTCTTAATTCAGTCTGCAATATATCATAAAGATATTATATCTTTTAATTTACAATGGTAAACATCTTTCACAAAACGATTATTCATTTTAATACTTTTACAATTACAATCTTTTAGGATCTATCTGAGCACAATACTTTTGAGATTATTCTCTTAAATGATATTCAATGTTGTTAAGCGAGAATGCTTGTACAATTTTCCACAATTAAACTAATTTCACACTTAAAAACTCTTGCTCTTTTTGTATAACGGAGGTATCACAACTTTCAATTCACGGCCTATCAGTACTTCGACGCTCAACCATTGTATAATATGCTACTGCTGCGCGATGATATCATTTAGAAAGATCACAAACAATACACAACACAATATAGATACAGTATAGTCAACAAAGTATGTAAATGAGTAATTACAATTATAACTATGAAACCACAAGAAAGATAAATCACCATCAGGGTACCACCTCTCAGCACAACACTAGTGTATGTCTGTGAACGACAGCACGCCACTAGTACGACAATTAAAATACTTATAAATCGATAAATCTCATGTTTCGTTTCTCATTTCAATTCCATGTATATCCGGTGTAATTTGAGATGAAACGAGTCAAGTTAGTTCAAAATACAACGACAATAATATGAAAATAGTTTTTCATAAAGATTTAGTTCGATAAAAATATAAATGCGTGTATTGGCTTTGTTCTCCTGAATTCTGGGTCCTTTTGCTTTTGAAACTCATAGTCAGCTAAATATTAGCTCATCTATTTAAATAGCTGTCACCTTTCCAATTGCAAAGAATCTTTTCGTACCTGTAGGTCAAATGGCTTGTATTTTTGAATGAGGAATGCAATACGAGTAATCATCGCGGTATGCGGAAACTCAACATTACCCGAATATCACATAGTGATGCTAGTTTATTGTTATCTATTTTTCTCTCTTACGCTTAAATAACAATCATTACAATCATACGATAGTGGAACATAATTGCGCATACAAAAAACCTTTACCGTGACAAGGTTTAAAAGAATCGACTAAACACAAAATAAAGCCGAAAATAAAAGCGGAAAAGTGACGAGGACATGCATGGCTGAATTGTCCATTGTTTCAAACTGTTCGATGCAATTAAAACGCTGCATGAGTCTGCCTTATTGGTGACATGGTTGGTGCATAAGCTGCGAATGGAGACGGAAGCAAAAACTATCGGAAAGAGCTATGAATATGCCGAGAGCTATCTTTTTACAGTAGACTGTTATGTTCTCTGTCCGGCATAGACTACCTTATCTAACACACTTCTACCTATTTAGACAAGCATTTATATAAAATCTGAAACTAATAAAACTGCCCCACTTGTTAAAAACGTTTGTGCACGAAAATATCCAACTATCGTAATGCAATGCTGGAATTCTAAATATCGCCGGCTCTGTGACAGATAATGTTCGAATAATTCATACGTTTTGATTCAGCCAGTGCGTAACCTTGCTTACGTCAACAATATTAAAAACGTCGATATCATTGCCAAGTCTGCCTACAGTCAATTCTAGATAGAATTAATAAGGAATTGTATTATATTTCATTTGATTGGGTATTTCCAGCATAAAAAAACGACTTTGTTGACAAGGAACTGCTCCACTTGGCCAAAACTTTTGTACGAGAAAATCTACACCAATTTTACCAATCATAAGGTAAGTTTAAAATTCTAAATTACACCGGCACTGTGACAACAACGTCAACGATATCATTAATGTCGACATCATTGGCAATTCACGATAGCATTAATGGAAATTGTAATATACCACATTTAATTGATTGGGTATTTCCAACATGAAAATACGACTTTGTTGACAAGGAACAATTGCGGAATCAGTCGGGTAAATACGTGAAAAGTATAGCTGACAATCACTATACCAATTTCGCAAAACAAAGTTTAAAGCGCCAGGTTGGAAATGAGTCTGGAAGTCTAAAAATACTGCTTTAAACGTGACTACGTTCAGTTCAAATATCCGGTATAAAAACACTATTCGGGTTTACAATAACTAAGCTAAAATAGATTGATGAAATTGACGTAATAAAAACGGGAAAAGAAAAATTATTTCATAATTAAAGTACATCGCTATCATCAGTGTTTTATGAATTGTATTTATTGAGGGTTTTTCATCAAAACGCGGATTCAAATCGGAATGAATTGACTTTGATTTTACATCAGCCATATTGCTTTGTTTCAATGTAATCAGACAAAAACAAACCTCTGTAGATTGTCATCCCGCATCAACTCACTCTAATGAATTCTGTATTGCTGTTAGCCTTGTGGTGTTAATACACGTTCAAATGTTGGCCCATCGTGCTGAGCACTGGGAACAAGCTTGCCATTGCACCTCTGATTACCCTGAGTGGGCTCGTAGGTTTAAATTCCATGGGAGATATTTATGTCTGGAAGGTTTGCTGGACCTCTCGCCTTCGCAGGGTGCTGGTTCATGAAACCAATGGTCGGTTTCGGCTTTTTCCACCATCAATTCCATGTATCTGAAACTGATAACTAGCTTATTATTCCCCATAACCAGCATGGACTGGTAACGGACGAGATGCTTTGATTCGCCATAGTACCTTCAAAATCTGACGTGCTCGTGCATGTACTCTTGCTACACACCACTAATTACTATTGACTCGACTTACACGTGTACACAAGTTTGCGGAAACCCAATTGATCCTCATCTTGACACAAAAATTGTGCGCTAAATTATTTATATACATTATTCGTGAAATATTTATTTCTATATTTAGAATAAGTACGAACTGATGAAAATACTGAATAAGAGCACTATAGATTGTATTGAAGAAAATAGGTTTAGCTCTGGCCCGGATTGGATGTGGAAAATTCTTTAGAAGCCTGGAAGTATCCGCCTGGATTGAAAATAAAAGTTTTTACCGAAGAGATTTCATTATTAAAACCCACTGAAGATACCATACTACTACATCCGGGATGAAAGGTCAAATATAACATACTCTGACATCATCATATTTTGAATAATCTGGTGGAGAATTTTTAAATTACTTTCTCCAAAATTCTGTAACAAATACCCTGATATGTCATTGATAGTTCGTGGTTATAATTAGAAACTATACGCACCGCTGTAAACCGCTGTCCAACTTTCGTGTAACCGAGGCTTATCATCTAAATAAAGTATGAATGAAAGCAGGATTTCTATACCGTGTTTGTGGATACATGAATATCAGTACAAATCATCATCTAAAAGCTTTTACTCACCCAATTATTTATATATATTCATTCGAATGCCCCTACAATTGCTCAAGATGTTAACCCTCTCGCAGCGTACATTTGACAATGACGTTCTAAGTAGGTAATTGGTATATTTATTTATCCGAGTCATTGAAAGTAATTTTCAATTTACTCAGTAACTTCAATCGGTAAGTAACTACGTGTTTTTCGTTTTTATTTTTATAAATTCATTGTCAGGCACCATAAATATTAGTCAACCTCGTAACGGTCTTCATAACACCAAAAGTTTGAGAACCCGTGAGGTAGACAGCAGTTGTTTATTTTTTGTTTAACTTACCTTTTATCTGCAGATATATAATATAATAATAACCTCATTCAAAAGATCAAACATATCTATATCCCTAATTACATATACAAACAGATAAAACTGCTCTTTAGCCAAAAATATTTATTACATTCTAATGAATTATTATTTTTAAGAGACAAACAATATCGCAAATAAGACCGGGCATGAATAATTTAACAATGCCTTTGGTTTTGATATGCGCTTATCTTCATGAACAGTAAATTGTCATTGCTATTCGGAAGTCGTCGTGAGGATAACATCGCATTTTTAAAACATTTTGAACTGGATTGTGCATTACTTGAAAGAAAAACCACAAACGGCGACGAGGTTTTAAAATGTGCCTGTTAAACCGACCACTACTCAGTCTTAGACAATTGACTCATCGATTTCAAAATGACCAATTGTACATATTCATATCGGCGTTACAGTCAAAAATTGAATAACAAAAAGACCAAGCGAAAATAAAATACAAATTGGATGACGTCGAGCAATTTGAACCAGACGAGTAACATGATAAACTTTTTGATCGAGCTCACAACTACATCCAAGGTATTGAAAACAGAAAGTCAATATTTCGGTATTTCCGAGAAATTCCTTCGCGAGGAATAATTTTATATTCACTTATTTTGTATTTTTATTTTTTATTTTTTTTGGGGGGGCGGTATGAACGATTTAACCTCCACAAAAGCCAGAGTTCGATTTGCGCATATCACTACCCATTGAGCCACTAAAAATCTAATTTAACAACAAATGGAAACATCACACAACACAAAATGGAAATTTGAGAGAGGAACGAAGCGTTTCATAATAAGCAATTATGAAAAAAGGTTGTGAGCCACTCACTGTTTTATTCAAAGAGAAGTAATATATAACAGAGTTGGCAACGTAATTAGGTCTTTTATTATTGAGGGGTTTTGTGTGTATAGTATGTCAGCAGGTACACGGTCTTGTCTGGGTAGAGTTAACAACAGCTTGACATAGTTGTATGTCTTGTGTATGTGTATGTGTTTTTAAATGCACAAAAGCCGGAATTGAACTGCTGTCTAGCGCACACTAGCGGAAGTCGATTAACCACTGAAAAGGTTTCCTGATTTTCCTACACCACCCTATAAGAGGTGAACACCCCTCCCATTTGATTTAAGATGTGACGCAGATGGTCAGTCAAATACATAATACATTTTGATAAGTTACAAATAATTTTATGGCTGAAACCTAACTATCTACCACCCCGTGAATTTGGAAACAGCCCTTCTCTGAAATGAAAAGCTCAGGAGCATACTAAGGTCAAACTTCTCGATCATTCCAGTCACAAATGATTGGGAAGACAATTCCTATAATTTTATGACTAAAATTATTCGTGAGACAATAATTTCACGGAGTTCACACACTAATACCAAAATCAGAATCTCAAGATACCGGAACAGAACGTCTTCAATAAAGCTTTCATTAGTTAAGCAGTTAAAAAATTAGAGACCATATAGAAACCAAATATCTTTTGTAGTGTTTTGTGTAGTATCTGCATAAATCAGACAAATCTTCCTGAAACGCTAATCGTAGCTTTTTGTGATACTTGTATTTATTTAAACCTAACAGTGCCGCAGTATTAAACAGAAATGACATTTCAAGGATATGCGTGTAAAGATATCGAAGTGTTAAATAAACCATGAAACCATCATTTCTTTTAATAATACTTATTAATGTTCGAGATCAATTTATTTTTTGTGTTAAACAAAATAACATTTAAATAAAATATAACAGACAATTCAATTAATATTCGAAAATCAGACATGGATAGTTTCTTTTGATATACTAAAAACAAAACAAATGACGTCGAAATTTATCTGGAACAATATGTTTGTATGTACATGATATATATAATATATCTCAAATTTTAAAATGATAAAAGCTTACCGACTCACTACTTGACTGACAGGGAAATTGGATCAAAATTCTACTCAGTTCGCCTTTCGTAACGACACATTCAAAGAAATCAAGCAAAATGTGGTGGCGCCCAAGAGTCTCTACCAGTAAATTTATTCATATTCGGGGTTAGTATTCAAACATGTTTCTTTTTTATAACAAAGCTGAAAAATTTATTTGGCTATATGAAAAATATCGCTCTCCCCAGTCTATACCGAATGTGTATTTCGTATTTTTTCAAGGTATCAATACTTATTTTCTGGTTGACAAAACAATAAACCTCTCTCTCTCTCTCGTTTCCAATAACACCATCGTTTCCAGATATTTGTACAGTTTTTGAACAATCGCGCCAAATGTCATAAACCTTTTTTATGAATTATGAACCAGATTAAATATAATTATTCTCTATTATCGTTTGATATTTCTTCCTTAGGCTTTTAGATACAATATGTGTCATGAATGAGCTCTTATTGTTAACTGAAGGAATCAGATATCAAAATATGCCTATTATTTGATGTGGTGAATGCCGTACAACCTGTGGTTACAAAATAAAAATAAGCTCAATAATATTTAGACTGTTCCATAGATTTCCGTAAAAGGATCATGATACAATTAGTCAGCTTGATTGTTGATTTGCGCACTCGATCGAATAAAATGGGTGGGAAATGGTTGCATGGATCGCGTTTTGCATTAATTATTTAGACCGAAAGGAATAATTATCTTCGGCGTTTCGGTTTACTTGCCAATTTGAATACTACACAGTCATTTTAAGCTGTTGCAGTGGAGCATGGCGTGAAGTGATGAGTAGATGCTAGAAAACGCATGTATATTAAAATCTGTTATGCAGTGATGTGTATTAAACCTGACATTTTATGTTGTCCTAAAACAACCACATCCTTATCTTTTCGAACGACAACTGGCAGATGGAGGTAAGCTGTTTGTGTGGTTATATTCTATCACACTACGTCTGTAGCTCCATACTTAGTAAGGTAATAGCTTTTGGGTCACCTGATTTATTGTTCGTGTTTTAATTGGAATCTCCGCCGACGTAATTTCAATACATAATGTTTATTTGTAGATCCAGTCGAGCGTATCCTAGTTTATTTTGCTTTGTGTAAACAATGTTACCGGTATGTTACACGCGATCAATAGATTTAAATACAAGCTTTTTGTGCAGTGGGTCGAAGCGCGTACCCTTTGATGATATGTAAAATCTATATCGATTCATTTAGATTTATAGAATACCGCGTGACACACGAATGCTCTTGTAAAGATACTGCGAGAACTTCGCATGAGGATTTGGAGTAATTTGAACATGGAGCAGTGAAGCGTGTCTAAAAAAACGCGCAAGCAATATGCTCTACGCGCTCTGTTGTATTTCTGCAATTGAACTAGGTCTTGTCGAGTCGCCTCACCTCCGTGGGGTTTCTACGGGTGAGGAGATTGAAGACGAATGTACTGATAGGAATATATAGATTATCTTATGCGCGTAAAGTAAACATATGCCGTCACACGATTTGGTATTTTAATGCACAAAAACGAATATTTCGCCGTATTATATGTTGTGCTGACTCAGGGGTAATTGTACTAATTAGATTTGAAAACGTGGACAGTGGTCGTTTTTGTAGTCTAATTAAATGACTGCATTTAACTGTCTGTGCGATCAGTACAAATTCGTTAAATAGTGACAATTCGATGTTAATTTGTTTAATAAATCGTTTCGCGCTAGACGTGTTTCGACTTGTCTAACAGCGACAGAATAAATTTCGACGAAATTGATATATTGCTGAAAGGTCGTCCTAAATTAACGATTCAGTGTTAGTGGGGCATATTATTCAGATACTCATTAGTTATGTAGTATCAAGTCAAATGCAATTATGCAATTTTAAGTAAATCTGATTTATTGTTGAAACGAAGCTGTTTTGTCTTCGCGAGATCGCACAGGGCTGATCGTCGTTTTTCGTTTACTATTGTTGGATCGATAGAAACGAAAGGTTGTCGTTATGCCATGTTCGCAGCTGGAAAAAAATGTTATATTACAACGTCCAATTATGGTCATTGTTGAAAACCCGGTCAGGATGTCGTTTAACTATAGATCAGAAAAACCTGGTTTGTAGCTCAACAATTTCCGTTCACGGACGAGCCTTCAATCATAGAGGAAACACAGAAATTCGATTCTTTGATTAATGTGTTTTCGTTCAAAACCCCCTTCTAAGATCACGGTCTATTAGTCGACCATCACTGAGTTAGAGCAGTCTAATATTATACTGTATTTCTCTTTCTTACAGAGCGTTTTCCGCATGATTGCTCTGCAGTTCAGGCGCACTGATGCGCTGTTTACTTGTTTTGACTTAAAATTATATTTTGAGTCTTGTGTAATAAGCTTTTAGATGTAATTATGGATATCGAAGCCATTGGATTACCAACAGGATGGGAAGTACGAGTTGGGCTCAACGGTAGAATTTATTATTACAGGTGGGTGAAGCTTGTTTATGTTTTGTTTACCTGGAATTGTTGACACTATTTCAATAAGTTGACACTTTTGTCAAATTGTTGGATGAATATTTATACGCTTTACTTACACTATTACTGTATATTCGTATATTATAGCGACATTTAATTAACTCACGCAGAAATATTCCTCATCAAATTACGTTGTTTCTAACGTCTTGGTGGGTCAAAGCTTGTTAAGATTGTGGCTTTTCGCGCTACAGTGAAACAACTTTACTGTTTATTCGTAGCGCTGCCTACTAAAAAAGACCACCCGCCTGTTGCCTTTGTGAACGTACCATGACATTTTTTAGTGCTCTGTTTATGCGGCAAGGATTTCTGTGGGAAATTGCCTTCTTCCGAATACGAGCTAATTCATCACACATAGTCACACATCGCAATGTTAGGTAAACAATTTTTCAATAATTCAGGTTATAGATGGTCGGTTAGTTTGCCGTCTATCAATTTGTTTTATCATAAATAGCGTCAAAAATTTGTAGTGGTACTCACAGCTTACGAGAGCACGCATAGACCACTTTCAAATAGGTTTTATATCAAGTAGCCTGTTGATAAATGTATACATGGCAAGGGAATGAGCACTACGAAATGCCAGTCTCGAAGACGAACTTGGCTTTTTTATAGTTTAAAAACAAATAGATTTTTTTAGTCGTCCTAGAATAGTTTTAGATTTTACTCTGATAAAGCATAAGCCATCTTTTCGACATGAGATACACACTTCAAACTCAATGACGAAACGAGAAATTAATCTAATTAAATACATATACAAAAAATGAGGGTCAGTTCAATCTCAAAATATTTTCTAATTTGACTCAAACTACGGAATGAGTTCAAATTTCGTTTCTTATCTTATGGCATTTCCATAATAATTTTCATTTCAAAACTGAAAGATGGTTTAAACACATGCTATCCCCTCGAGAATGCACTGGTGCCGGACCCGTCGGCTGATATAAATCGTACAATATTGTCAAGCAGTCACAGATAACGTCCCGGGGGATGAAATAGTGTAAATCGTATTACTGCGACTTGGAGACCAATTATGAATTCTTTTAGATTCCGAGAGTTTTTCTGATAGCGGTTCAATATATTCCCTAGTGTCGCTGCTGTCGGAGTCAAATTTCTTTTGTTAAAACTAATGGATGTCGTTATTCTTCGGATGGCAAAAAACTTTAGTCTGGTATCCGTAACACAATTTTGGTTAAGGAAACTGTATTTTTTTTTATCTTATTTACAACGAGTACTTACTACTCATATTTCGAATGGGTTTTGTACCAAATATGGCGTCGTACCAGAGTTTGAGTTATAAAAAAAACGTTTTTGATGGACCATTATTGAAGCTATAAATTTTGCGCGGTAAAATCAGTCACTGGAAATTGTTTACCAGGCCCGTTCTTACAGTGACAGACTTATAAACAATTTTATCCGCTTTCTCCCGCGAAACCTGGGAAAATACCACGGTACAGTATTGAATTAATCGTAGATACGGCATCACCGCATGTGTGATGCTTCAATGGTAATTACTTGTGTATAGATATTTTGTGTAACGTCAATGTCATATCCTGTTTCATTGCGGGCGTAATTATTATTCGACATTATTAGGACGTTTCCTAATAGAAGGGATACACGCGGGAGTTATTGAGAATAAAGTTTTCGTATTATTATTTAAAAGGAAAATAATCGATATGAAGAATACAAGAATAAACCATGATTTCATTATCTAGGCAAATCAGACACGCACTCAAGCCATAGGGCCACATGGGAATATACACTTGTCTGTACAGAGTTTGTTCTTTCTCTAGATCTTGCGTGATAAAAATATTGGCAAATATATTATTAAATGTCTGTCAAGCTCAATTTTATTGTTCTCAATGTTTCCGCGGAAAAAATTGAAAGAAGGAGATCCACGATATATTTTAAAATATCGGCGCTGCAGAAGTGTGTGTACCAGTATGGAAGTAACTAATTATGTTCGCTACTTTAAATCAAGTCGTGTAAAGGGACCGATTACTATGAGAAGGGGCTTGACTAACACAGACAGTCCACGAACTCGTAATATAACTAAAATAAGGAAAATCGGAATAAAATTTTGGACCAACCCTAACCTGGTACACACACTACGGGAGTACCAAGATATCTGGCTTTTTTGATTTGTCAAAGTTTACCCCATAGATCATGTCATGATAAAAATTGTTTGACATCAGTAAGCCTGGGCTACAACTGCTTCAGAAATTTTAGTGAGTACATTAATTAACCAAAATCTTGATCCCTAGTAAGAGTACAAGCTGGAATCTAACAAAACAATGACTGAAATTCATAGCACGTGACCCGATAATATATGACAATCTTTTATTAAAAAATATATGTATTTCGTTGTGTCTTCATACAAATTTTTCGGATCAGATTAAGGAGAAAATGATATTACTAAAGATTCTTCTCCCAGTTAGACTTGGGGCAGATTTGGGGAAGGAGCTTCATATTCAATACAATCATTCTTGTGGCGCAAACTTGCATTCGAGCTTTGTACGAGGAAGCCAAGAATACCAACAGATTTGCCACAATACGATGAAGTACAAAATGTAAACGATGTTGCTCATCAATTTTGATATACGGTACTTAAATTCCGCTCTTTGGCTATATTAATTGCCGGTAAATGCAAGAAAATACTGATACGACTTTTGACCGGGATGCTTTTGATATAACCACCGTTCACCATACTAGAATTACACCCATTCACCAAATGTGTATATTGCTACACGGAATTCTCATTAAACCTCTGAGGTGGTCATATGATTTGTTGACTATGATAGATACAGATTAAATACATCTTCAGACAAATATTCTTGTTTATTTGGCAAGCAAAACTTTGTTTGTTTACCTGAAAATAGTGTAATTTGTTCATATTCTCAAAAGAAAGAATTTTAACGATACAAAATGTTCAAATAGAGATTGTGGTTTTGCCGAAGAGCTTGGTTTGACTATGGAACAAGTTTTTTGATTAAGGTAACAATTTTAGCATTTAAGATAAATTAGGAAAGTTTGTGAAGACTTTGTGAATGTCAAGTGTCAATATTTTGAAATAATAACTTACAAACCCTCGTTGACGAATGAAAAAATTGAATTTTTATAACACAAACAACAAATTTTATGTGTTCGCTCTTTATATTCGCAAATGCTTTTTTTCTTCCATCATATTTCTCTGATTTTGTATCCTTGTAACGAAACAAATTCTCAGATAGCTTACTTGACGCGTTTGAAAATGATGGTTATACATTGTATTCAACTGGTTTAATTGTTACTCTCAAGTGACGAAATTGGTTTTCTTAATGACAGCCGTACAAAAGCTCTAAACATTTTGAGCAGACAGCGATATTTATTTAGCATCGTGTCGCGATTCGAGATGAAATAATTTGGCCTTCACATCATAATTGATACAAAATGAACATTTACTAAAAAATTTGCAAAATCTTCGATTAGTTAAACTTTAATATATTCACTTCGAGATTAAGTGAACAGAAAATTGTTGTTTAATTCACTCATTTCTTTTGAAAGTATAATAGTGTCATGTTGACATTTTTAACTTGTTCATTGATTACTCGCTCATTAATTAATCAATTATCAGCAAATCTTATGTATTGGGTCCGTATAAGGACATTGCTTTATGATGTGGTGATAATGCTTATTTTTTGTGATAGAACTTGACATAGCATATTTAAGCATATAAATGCAAAAAGTCTTTTCAGAATTAACTAGAATTGCATTGCAATACCTACATTGTCAATGAATTATAAGACTCATTACTAAAGCGCAAGCTTTAAGTTTATAGTTTGTGCAATATTTAAATATCTAAATTCTAAACCACATTGAAATTGAAGTACAGTAGAATGCAAGTAAATTTCTCCGTTTTACTCATTCTTTGTATAAATCGTATAGAATAAAGATTCTTTGTATAAATCGTATAGAATAAAGATAGTAAACTAGTTAGTAGTAATGTTAATAGCCCATAAAAACACATTGCTTACAATTCGTGTAATGAGGTTATATGCTGTTCTATGAAAGATGTTCGCTAATACTCAAAATTTGTAGATTTAACAAACCTTAAACTTCAAATTTAATATTTAATTTTGAGTTAACTCGTTTGTCGAATTAGAAACTATGTTTTTAGTCTGTATTTTGTGTTTACCATATCATGCTTGTTGTTTCTAATTTATTTTTAATTGTGTAAAAATTTGTAATTAATTATGTGATGATGTGAACATTTGCGAAAATAGCCGAATAATTAGCTGTGTATGATGAGCTGCTTTCGGTGAAGCACTTTCAATTGATGGCTAATGCTTTGATCTGTAGTTTTGCATTATCTAGGATTCAATGAACGGAACCTGAAAGATACGTTACCCGCAGTTTAACCGTTGTACATGCTTATTCTAACCTAGCCCTGATATGGTATGGTCGCGTGCATCTGAAACAAATGATTGATAGCTATTCCCATACTCCGCGTAGACTGGTAACCAGACGATAGGCCGTCTCATCGGCTTTTCTTACCCCCATGGGTTGAAAATGAAAATCCTATCGTATCCATTTATTCCCAAAAATGTAACGGTCAGCTGCTCATTTCCCACCGTTTTCCAAGTTCGAAACTACAGGCGCCGGCCGACCTGTCACGAATAAAAAATTGTACTAGATTCCGGAGCTGAAATAACGTTTTAATGAGGTGTCGTAGAATTTCGCCTATTTATAGTGATCATGACTGAGTATTATCATATTTTCTTGTCCATAGGCCCGGTTAGCTCATATCTTTGCATAATGTCTTGTTTATTTATATTTTTTCACAAATCATGGTAAGTAATTATGCACACGTGTCTTCCAATATAGCAATTTACAAACGCTGACTGACAATAGAATGGTATTTATCATTGAAGTAAGGTAACCCATTCACCAACACACTTAAAGAGTCATTTGAGGACATAAAG